ATTAATCTTTTTACTTTTTCTTTTACAGAATTAAAAGCTTTTAGTTCTTCCATTTTAATATTAAAATTATCAGGTGGGTTTTTACAATATCTGATACTTTTTTCAATACTATCAAGAGCTTCCATATTAGAAATAACTGCTATTTCTTCTTCCTACTCCTCTTCTGGATTGTTAATTTCAGCTACTGTTTCTTGACTTATTACTTCTATAATTTGGTCATCAGTCAATTCCTCCATTGGTATTTCATCATCAATGTGGATGAAAGTTTCTGCACTCAATAAATTTTCTAGGTTCAATTTATTAATCTTTTCTTGTAATTCAGAAATACCATCATCAATTTCAGTAACATCATCAATATCACTCATAATAGTATCTTGGTCATCAGGTAAAATACAAGTCCGTGTTACTATTGAATTTTAGTGTAAATTAAATTATTAATTAATCATGGATGTAAATTATATGTGGTCTAACTAAATTTAGAAAAAGGAAAATTAACCAATAATATGAAAATCTGTGTTGAATTCATGTGATTTCCACTGTAACGAGATTTATTTCTATCATGCATCCAATATAAAAAAAATTTCAATGTTCACACTAACGAATAAAGAGATTTTACTATTATGTTCACTGTAATGAGTAAAATTTACTATAGTGTGAACCAGGGGATCAAAAAGAGTTCGCTGTAAGCCATTTCCACTGTAACAAGATTCACTGTAATGAGCTTTGACTGTATACTTTTAAGCAAAATCATCAGGATATATATTATGATGGTCATGAAAGGCCAGATGTTGTCAAATATAGAAAAAAATTTTTAGAAGAAATATTTAATTATGAAAAGTATATGACAACATTTGATGATGAAACCTTAGAACCAATTCCTCCAATTCTTAGTCCTGATAAGAAGGAAATAATATTAGTTACTCATGATGAGTGCATCTTTTACTCTAATGATGGAAAGAGAGGCGTTTGGGCAAGGGATGGTGAATTGCCATTGAAAAAAAGGGCAATGGAAGATGTATTATGGTAAGTGAGTTTTAACCGAGATTCATGGAAGATTATGTTTAAACCAGGATCAAATTATAGATAACCCAGATGTTCCTGAGGAAGCAAAACCAATTTTGAAACCAGGAAAAAATCATGAAGGCTATTGGAAAAGTGATGATTTAGTAGGACAAGTTGAATTAAAAGCCATTCCAATTTTTGAAATTCTCTTTCCTAATTGCATTGCTCTATTTGCATTTGACAATTCCACTAATCATGCTTCTTACAAGGAAGATGCTCTTGTTGTTAATAGGATGAATTTAAGTCCAGGTGGAAAACAACCTAAAATGAGAAATACAACCTTTGGACCTAACAATACATTACAACATATGGTATTTGAAGATGGAACACCAAAAGAAATGAGACAAGTATTATTTGAAAGGGGACTGGAGAGATGATTTATTAGCAGACTGCAAATCATGTAAAGGTAAAGGTAAAGTTTTAGATGAAAATAGGGTAGATTGTTGTGCAATAAGGATTCTTTCAATGCAGCCTGATTTTAAAAATCAGAAGTGTGATTGGAAGAAGCTATTTTAGAAGCAGGACACTTATGCATCTTTTACCCCAAATTTCATTGTGAGTTAAACTTTATTGAAAGGTATTGGGTAAAGCAAAAAAATACACTCAAGAGAAGTGTGATTATACATGGGAGGGTTTAATAAATACTGTTCCAGAAGCTCTAAATTCAATAGATGTAATAACAATTAGAAGATTTGCAAGGAAATCATGGAGATACATGGATCCTATATAGGAATGGAATTATTGGAAAGTTGGCAGAGTATGCTGTCAAAAAATATAGATCACATAGAAGAATTCCAGAGTATATTATTCAGGAATTAAATAATATAAAATTGACTTAATTTTTTATTTGATTTGATTATTATTCTTTTCTTTTTAATTATTTTTTTTACTATAATATTTTAACTAATTTTAAATTATTAAAAAATGAACCATTAGAGTATCTGTCAAATGATTTGACATACACTCCCCTAAAAAAAGTATCAACTCACTTGATATTCTGTGAAAATAATCAGGTAAACGGGTAATACAAATACTCAATTTTTTACTAAGCAAATTGATGTTGTGTATTAGTGAAAAGATGTTTACTGAAATGATTTCTATAACA